GAAGTTGAAATCCCTATCAGAAGTTGTTGGTGCTGTAGCCAAAATATCCGTGCTGAGAATCGAGACGGCGGCGCCCACCCGCGCCTTGGTAAACCTTCCGCGGGGCTTGGCGAGCGATAGCAACCCCAAAGTATTGTGGTGTAACATTAGACCTGCCGTCTGTGCTGGCAAGGACGCGCTTCCGAGATTTAATCCCCAGAGTGTTTCCTGCAGCGACCTGTAGTTGCAGTGCCGTCTGGACCGCCTGGACCGTGCGCCGTGTAGACAAACCGAAGAAATTGGAAGTGGAGATGAGCCTCCGCAGAAATGGCGAAAAGACGGTGTAAACAAATACTGCCTGAATTTCGGGGCTTTACTCTGCACTGGTCATGCTTGGCCAGGATGCCTATGCAGACTTGGAGTTTGGCAATGATGCCGCTTGGCATGGCTGAAAGCCAAAGTCGTATGCACAAGGGCTCAGCAGATCACCGGAAAGATGGCAACCTGCCTTGCACAGGTTGGCTATTTGCCGGGCAAACCCACGAACATGGCGGGCAACTGCATCAATCATCCCGTGACCATTGGACCAGACCCGCATCAGCGCTCTGCGACGAGACGGAGTTGAAGGGGAGCTTGGGAGTTTGGCGGATCGAGTTTGGACAGTTTGGACGGAGGGATTGGGTAAACGGAGAGTGCCGAAGTCAGGTGATGGGGACCGCTGCTGCTGCTTCGACTTTGAGGCGCTCGCATGGTCGAAACGCAGAGCCAGGCCGGATTCCTTAGGTTTTAGAGTTTGGAGCTTGTGGTATTGTGGAGTCTATGGCTTACACCTTCCATTGAACTCAGCGAAGTTCGAGTCAATCCCAGAATACGTCCCGCGTCAAGAGCTTGCGCTAGAGAACTGCAAAAGGCTACGAGTCGAGTCCAAGTCCTGGACGCGCTATCGGGAACGAGAGAGAAAGTCCGTGGCAAGTCAGTGCAACTCTAGGTGCTGGTTCTGTTTCTGCTGAGGCCACGTGATGGGAAAGCCGAACAAAAGCTCCTCGGCATATCAGTTTTGATTCGTTTGGGAAGTTTTGGGAAGCTCATCCCGTTTTTGGCCCGGGGACAACCACAGGTAGTGGCAAGTCGCTGCCTGACAGCAGCTGTGGGGCCCGGTTGGCCTCCCTGACACAGCTCTTCGGCTCATTCGTGTCGTAGGTTCCTTGACGTTGCAAGCCCTCCGGTGTTAGCCAGTGTTGTTCCTGGTTTCGGTCCAGGGTTGAAGCTGAAAGGAAAGCCTTGCGCCTTACGCAGCTGGGAGCCTGACAGCTTTGAATAAGAGACCCCAGCAGTAAAGCCCAAAGCCTCAAACCACTGTTCTAATCCAAAGTAAACCCTGAAGAAGGAAGAGGGGTCAAGCCATCCGACGCCCCAGCACCGAAACAAGGAAGAGGCCGATCCAGACCACGACTTGGAAAAGGTGTCGAGTCAGACGGACGACAGCGTAGCGGCAGGCAAAGGGGTTCCGGTTCCAGCCTCATGCATAATTACTTCTTCGGTCTTCCGCCTCATGCCTCAAGATTGCATAGCGTCTCGTCTTGGGCGGACAGCTTCAATGTGAGCGGGATGTCGCGGTGACAGGAAATACACACACACACACACACAGACAGAGTCCTGCCCCCCATCTTCAAGGGCATGTTGAAAGCATGGTTGACACACTTGGTCTAGCAAAACCTGTAGTATAGGTACGTCTATCAGGACATATTGTAGAAACGACGATCGGTTACAAGACTTCACGGATGTGGCTGGGTTGAAACTCGTCAGATGCATTCGTCAAGCTCGCCCACAGTCCCTGTTCAGATTCGGTTGGCTTCCGCGTGGGCTCGAAAATGGCGAAGAAGAGCGCCAGCACAAACAGCAGATGACAGCTGTGCCCTGGCTTCCCAATCATTTCACAGATGTGTCAGTTCAGCACTCGTCAAACCGTATTATTAGGGGTCAGAAAGTATTTCAAAAGTATTCCCTATAATCAAGGTGCTGTGTTGCAGCATTGCCCTGTGGGACCATGACGAAATCGGGATCTTTGTCTGACTCTTGCTGCTGCCTGCAAACAGCACGGAAACGATGCACGAGCCGAACGCATGATTTCAACGTCCGGCGGCAAAGGTTCGAGTGGTCTCCGCGATCGTTGATGAGTGATAGCTGCAAGCTGATATTGGCTAGAGTTGTACTGAAGATGGCTTGGTTCATGCAGAGTTTTCAGGTACATCGACGATCACAGCCAAGACCACAACCCATGTTCCCATCCGCATCAAAGCGCACAGTTTGAAATCCAGAAAATTTGCCACGCAACGAAGGTTGGGAGCCGCTCGAGCCACTTGCGACAAATAACCACATCAAATAGATCAAGTCAAGTCAAGCAGTGGCCTTCGGTCTCATGTCAATTTAGCCGAGTCCCCCACACAGTAGGGTCCATCTAGTCCCACAGCTTCAAACCGCAAGCCCCGCGCCCTGAGAAACAGATTCGGCTGTCACCGCAACAACTTGAATCGCAACACAAAGGCTTGCGCAAATCGGCTTGACACGATTGTAGGCGCACAGCGTCACCGCGCCGACATCACTTACCCTCCAGGTTTTTGCATGTCATGTAGCTGTTGTTCAACATGAGTGTCAGGGGGCCGTGGACTCCGGAACATTAAAGCCAACTGTTGCCAACATCGCCCAGCCCTGCACCCCCCCCCCCCACGACCAGGCATGGCGCTCCACACGGAAGGCTGCGGCGGAATCAGGGTTTAAAGGTCAGAGTTGATTTGAAATGTTGGAACAAAGGTCAGCTGCCGGTTGCAGAACTGGGGGTGCGGGCTTCTTGGGCTGTGTGTTCATGAAATGCCCTTACTTGTTGCTTTTGTGCCACGATCTAGGACCTCTTTGGCCAGAGAGTCCACATGAAAAGTATTCGGACCAAGAGCATCGAGTCAGCACAGCCTAGCCGTTGCGTCGGTTCGAACGTAAAGCCTCCAGTCCCTTCCATATTCGGACAGCGATCCATGGCATCTGCTGTTCTTGTAGCACAGACTTGCAGAACAATCGCCGGAGCCTAAGTCCCTGTTGCAGGTGCGGCTGGCGCCAAAGACCATGGCATCTCGGCTTGCGGAGCTCCAGTTTAGTAGACTAGGCATTCGGCTTGGGGGAATGCGGCTTTACGTGGCAGGGCGTTGCCGTGTGCATGTATCGTGACCGGTGAGGGTAGATTGAGGCTTGCACACAAGAGAGCGGAGCAGGTTTGGGGTACAAAAAACAGCAAGAGAACAATTCAAACAATTGTGGTAACGGACACGGCAGTCAACAACGCAACATCGGCCTTACATTCTACACCCTTCCCAGGCTGGAATAGACCCTATAGGCCTCTGAACCCAACAAGGTGGTGAAGCCAGTGGCGTCCGAAGGGCCCCCGAAGAGCGTCGCAGGTCGTGCCTACTTTGGGAACTGGGGCCGCGACATGCGTCAGCGACATCGTGGGAAATGCTGCCAGTTGTCTTTGGTTCAGCTTGGCTGGCGTCATAGTCGAGATCGATATCCATGGTGTGATGTTCATGCCTCGATGGCCAATGCATCGACAGGATTCCAGCTGATTCCTGTTTGAGTCTTGCAGAATGTCCATCCGTTTGCAGGTGAGCCCAAGGTGTCGGTCACATGTTCCTACGTCGATGCAGTGCTGTCTTCCTCTTCCAGGGTGGTGCATTCTCTAGTGCTGGTTGGACAGCAGCGGTGCGTTTCATGTTTTCAACAAGGTGAACGATCGTGTCATCCTCGGGAAACTTTGACTTGCATACTAGCTTGAGGCCTGTGCTCCCTTAAAACCGGCACCTCACTGCGGGGATGTCCACAAGGACTCTGAGTGCTCCTCTTGTGTGCCAGCCTTGCAAACCAAGCGGAGCATTGCGACAGCTTCTCTGTTTGCTTTCAGCCCTTTCTGCTGTCGTTGCAGTTGAACATGAAACTCTTTCAACTTCTCGTGCAAGTTGCCCAATTATGGTTTTGGCTGCGTCGGAGCTGCGATTCTCTGCGGCCGCTTCTGGCTCTTGATGATTCATGGTTTACACAAGCACAACAAGACACATGCTGCTACTTTCAGTCCTAAACATCCAGAGCCTTCAAGTTTCGTTCTGAGGACCCGGGGAGTTAAGGTCTGGTATCGTGGGGTTGCTCTTACGGTCTTGGTCCCACTTGCTGCCATGGCTCTACAGTGGTGCCACTGAGGGCGGTTGCCGTGTGCTGCAACTGTGCAGCAAGATCTTGTGCCTGAAGGCATCAAGAATAGCTTAATTAGATCTGCCAGCCTGCACCATCGTTCGTCCGGCAGGTCCTTTTACGCGTATGCTTGTTCGACAGCTGACATTCACCGCGAACATACAAAATTGCAGCATGTTAGCAGCAAGAGTCCCGACATGCGGTTTATGCCGGCGCTAGAGCAGGTTTGCGGTGCTGCTCTTAGAACGACGACATTCAAGCCTCTTTCCTAGGCCTTGCATTCGAGTATGTCTCCGCACCTATGGCCGTAGGCCCACAACTCTGAACTGCAAGACTTCAGCCCAGATAAGCAGATTCCGCCGCTGCGCTGCTTCGCGCACGGCTGGCTGAGGTCATGCGGGTTCAGGGAACAACCCGTGAGCTAAGCTGTTGCACCGACGCCGTTGACATGACTTCGGTTCTCGTCGCCTAGGCCCCTGCATCGCAGGTTGCGAACCCAATGGAATTTGCGAAGCTATCTAGTACGGACATCTGTTGATTTTGATTTGGTCGGGTCTGCGTTTCTCATCACCTGACCGTTGCTGCAACGTGGGTCTTATGCAGAAGCATGCAGTGATTTTTGTCGCCGCAGCTGCCTTCGTTGATTTGATGCATGAACAGTTTGGAAGCACCAGGAACAGCCGCAGCATGCAGATCACTCAGAAGTGCAGAAGTCTAGAACTGTTGAGGCTCATGACAGAGGCTCCACGAAGTTCCCATTCGGAAACCGAACGGTGCGATTTCCAGGAATTACGAATGGCTTCCCGCTTCACCAGATCTGGCAAATCTGCAATGGTGGGTTCACAGGTGGCGCCCGGGTAAACATCCGCTGAGGATGTAACTTAGGTTGGTTGCACTTGGAGCCCTCTTTCCAGCGCAGGAAGCAGCACCAAAGACCTGGGTGGTTGTTCTGTACGCCAGCATCCGAAATGCAGTGCAGCTTTCCTCGGCAGTCCGTGACCCTTCCAGGTTCATTTGGCTTGGACTTGGAGAGTCAGGCTGAGGCCCGCCCCAGAGTCCTGCTGCACTGGAAGTGTCGTCCCTGGGAAGAGCTGTTGGGTTTCTGGGTGTGTTGTTTCCCGGAAGTCTGGGGATTACTTTCCAACGAGTGCACAGCTTTTAACATCGCTGACCGCGAACCCACGAAAAATGTTTGTGCCAGTGAAGAAGCACCGCAGCAAGAAAGCAGTTGCAGCCCTCGGGCGATTCTGGGTTTCCAGTGCTCTCAACCGACTTTCTTGCCTAAGTCACCACTGCGAAAACATGTCGTAATATCGTACTTGCACGTGTCAGCTGCCATCATAGCTGTTGGCGTGATGGCAATCGTGCTGTTGTAGTCGTCATCGTCGTCGCAATCTGAGCGGGCTCTTGTGGACCATCTCAAACCATCCCGAGCAAACTTCGCAGGAATATGTGATCGACAGTTTGAATGGGCAAATGGCGAAACACGAAGACATTTGCAAGGATGTGCCAACGACAGATTGCAGCTTTGTCCCACGATACTGCAGTCGCGTGTCGTGGTCCCAGCTGCCAGGCCCGAGCTGCGAGGGGCGATTGCCTGACCGCTAGCACTAGCCCCAGTGTCTGTACCGGAAGCGCCAGTGAAGCAGCAGCAGCAGCAGCAGCACGTCGTGCGGGAACAGAACTATTGTAACTATTGCAGGATGCAAACACCTCTTGCTTCTCCAGGGTGTCGGATTCTCCAGATTGTTTTGCTTGGAGCGGTGCTTGTCGTGATTAGCTGATATTAGCTCTCAATTTAATGTGCACAGGATAACAGCACCTGCACCTCATTGTGAGCCCTGCTCTCCGTGAAATTCAGCATTTTGCTTTTGATTGGCGGTGACTGCATTCCAACACTCGAAGAATGTGGTGATCTATGTAACTACCGCCGCTAAAACCCACACCCGCGTGTAGTCAGGACCCACGGTTCTCCTAGAGTTGCGTGCTGATCCACCGAGGCCAGCCGCAGCTGAACCTGCCGTCCCCTCGGAAGTGCGAGGACGAATGGTCCGCATGGACATGCCAGCTTGAAGTACGAGAAGGTCGCGGCCGGCATGCCGGGAAAGAGGGAGAAGCAAGGGTCCTGCAGTTTCGGAGTCTCCGAACTCCAGGACTTCCGCTCGTTGATAGCGACGAATTGAACCTGTCAGGAAGTTCGGAGCTGCCATCGCCTCCATTCCCTATGCTGTGCTGGGTGGCATGACCACCTTCCTGTAACAGGAATTTGGTCATGCCACCCAGGACAGCATTGCCAACGTGCGCGTCTCGGGCATCAATGACTTGGCCGCCGTCGGTTCCTTGTCTGCGAGGGTTCAAGCACCGTTGACACTTCCCTAGTCTCCTACGCCACCGCCCGAAGTGCGTCCGAAGCAGGCGGCAGCGGACAGATGGGTCGGCGCACGCGCTTCATCCTCGCCGTCTCCCTCGGCGTGTCCAGGTTGCAGTTGGCTTTCCGTCCCTGTCGCAAGATGTGCAACACAGACACTGCCAAGATCGGTCCGAGCGCACGCAGAAGGGGGTCGTTTAAAGGGCCTTTGTAGTGCAGCCCCATAGAAGTTTACACCATCAACCCGCTGCAGGTCGGCGTTAGAGTCGCCGGCCTTCCCAACTGGGCGGCTTGGTTCAAAGTTGGGGTCACGCTGCAGTCTGTTGTAAAGGAGGGCAGTCGGTGCAGTTGGTGCGTGTAGATCGAAGTTCTTACGTAGAGGGCGGACAAGTCAGGCCGAGGGCGGTGGTCTTGCCGGCTTCCACGGCGGCAACTTCAAGCACAACCAAGGACGGCGTTGAGGTCTTTCTCTTATCCGTCCGGCAGCTGCAGACGGGTTCCAAGCTACTCGTTGGCATGTTGTTGACCGCGGCCGGCTCATGCAGCTCGTCTGGCACACACGGTCAAGAAAGATCTGTTTGTAGAGCAACAAGAGAGGGGTGGGCTTTGAGGTGCCTCGTTGCTTGACCTGGGAAAGTTTGTTGGCAGCAGGTTAACGGTGGAATTGGGCTTGCTGATAGCGCAGCAGTACTACAGGTAGGAATCTGCAACCGCCTCTTCTCGCCCCTCCTTTCTTCGGACCTCGACTCCTGCCCGGCGCTCTGCGACGAGACGGAGTTGAAGGGGAGTTTGGGAGTTTGGCGGATCGAGTTTGGACAGTTCGGAAGGAGGGAATGGGTAAACGGAGGGTGCCGACGTCAGGTGATGGGGACCTCGCCTGCTGCTTTGACTATGCGGCGGTCGGCGAGGAGCTCGCACTGGCGTCTCTTGCGGATGGCCAGGCGGTGGTCGAAACTCAGAGTCAGGCCGGATTCCTTAGGGTTTAGAGTTTGGAGGTTGTGGTATTGGAGTGTGCAGCGGTTATTGAACCTTTCGTAGAGTCGCGTTTTGCCTGGCTCGGTGCTTGTACTTACGTAGTACGTAGGTGTGTCGCCGTAGTACGTAGGTGTGTCGCCAGCATGCATGTGGGTGACAAGAGATCCAATGAATCCAACGAATGCTATTAGGCTATGACACAATGAACACCGAGATATGCACCTTGCAAATGCACAACAAATAATACTATAGATGGCTTGGGGGCGGTCGCCTGCGGCGGCGTAAACCCGGCTTGGATCACAAGCACAGCCTGACAATGAAGCCGTGGCACGTAGGAGTGCACCAAAAAGTGGCCAACATCCAACGAAAAGCTCTATAAGCAGGCAGTTTGGCCTGTCTCTTAAAGCCCTCCTCTCTGAAGCCTGCGCAGCTGACATGCAGGAAGAGGTCTGTAGACATCATTCTTGCAAAACTGTTGTGAAGCAAAACCTTTTGTTGGTCCTTCCCGACGACAAGACCCGGCCCGAGGAGCCCAGCACCGCCGCTCCCCTCCGGCCGCTGCGAAACGGCGGCCCACCATCGGTGGCACCCGAACCTTCACACTCGTCAAGTTCACAAGTTTGGGAGGCGAATGCTCCTTCACAAAGTGGATGTCAATGTACATCGTGAAAATCGAGCCCATGTGTCCGTGCACATAGTGGACGTCGAATCCATGAGTCGAGCCAACATTTTTCGCGTGCACGCGTTTCGTGACCCCACGTCTGCCCTGCAGGGGAGAGATGTTGGGCTTCGCCTAGCCCCTGATTGTCTTGCGGTGAGCGATCATGTCCAAGCCATGGGATCCGTCCGCTTGTCGATGGGGCAAAGACTCCTGTCACTCTTGCTTTGAAAGTTATGCTGTGTAAAACAGGCTGCAGCCAAGCTTCACTTCGCGGCCATACATACATGCATGCATGCATGCATGCATGCATGCATACACATTTTCATACATACCAACCTGGCAGCCTACCAAGCTACCTAGCTACCTAGCTACCT